AGTCATTTTTGAATCTTTGCGAAGAATGCACCTTTAGGAGCACAGCTACGTGTGGAGGCTTTTTGAGCACGCAATGGTGTCTGATTGGTCATCCTGCACGGGGGGGGGGGGGGGCGCCACATATTTTGGGATAGAGGAGAGCGAGCCATAGTCTTCCAGGGAGTCTCCTGGACAAAATGAGGCCTCCCAGAGGGGGGGGGGGGGGGGGCGGGGCTCCTCGACATTGTCGCATTCAAGGTAAAGGGACACCAAGCATACCCTCTTATAAATTAAATAATTCTGAATGGGAGTCTTCTAATTATCCAATAAAGGTCTCGCTAAAATAAAACAGGGTCTCCTGTTCCGCAAAGGGCCCCTGATAAATAAGCGAGTCTCCTTTTGTAGAACAGAATATCTCTAATTTACGAAACGGGGCCTCCAAATTTCGCAAACGGGCCTCGCCATGCAAAAACAGGGCATCTTGAGTCGGAACCGCGACAATCTGGTGCATGAAGGGGCCTCCTGTATCAGAAATGAGGCCTCTTTAGCATAGAGGGTGCATTCTAACCCAGAGGGGCCTCCATGTTTGTAACGGGGCCTACCGAGCCAGCAAATGCACCTCCTTGATACAGCATCGGGCCTTCCAATCCATAGCATGGGTTACCTCATTCATAAAGATGGCCTCATGGTCCAGAAAACGAACCTCTTAGTGCAGAAAAAGGTCTTCTGAATCCGATTTATTACGCTCTAGCTCAGTTATTGGAGGCCCGTTGGTCGAACTTTAATCATCGACGAGTAGCTTCAATGCCTTTTAGCTTGAGAAAAAGGGACCTCCTCAAAATTTGTTTGGTTAAAAAGATACTTTTGCCCCCTGCCGGCCCTGCCTCCTTCCCCATCTGCTGCGCCGCTCCTGGTACCCGGGTTGGTAGACCCGGAGTTCTACAACACATCATGCCGATGCTGAACTTTCTGTCAGGGGCCATTTGTGATGAAAAAAGAAAAATGCGACCCTCGGCGGCCCTCACTTTTGGCTTTATCCCTGTTACGTAGATTTTCTACTGTCAACATCAACTAATACCCTGGAGGAGGGGTCAGGGAAGGGGAGGGGAGGGCTTAATGCAACCCTCTGAGGTTTTCTTATGATAACTCTCCGGCATGTCAGACATCGCGCCCCAAATTTTCAAAAGCCTATTCGGCATTTGATGGGCGTGTTTTGATGTAAAAAACCCGTCCCTAGCCATTCCGGTTTCGCAGCAGCGGCGTTTTTTTTTTAGAAACACTTCACAGTGATCTACGGCCGGCGTGTGCGGCTGGCAGCAACCGACTTTCCCACGGACCGCCTGAGGCAGGCCAACATTGCTATATTAGCGGAGCCATACTCATAAACATGTGCTGAGACGCGTGAAAAAAATACATAAGTGCACTCCGAATTGAATAGGGAGCACGCATGTTCAGGTCTGTGTCACTAGAAGACATGGAATTTGTACATATAAGTGTGCAAATCTGAAGAAGTTTGATATCCGGGAAGATTTTGACATTTGACCTAACGCAGTGGTGATTCATTTTCGTCCTAGCAACATAAAACCAATTACTTATCGCGAGATAGTCGTTTCCGACCAAGTCACTGATGTTTTTTTTTCACTAAGTTCCATCTTGCTTACTTTGGAAACGGCACCGGGGTTCGCATCGATCACCTCAGTGCATGCGGCGGCCACGTCCACCGGCATTGTGCCATTCTAGCCTAACTCTGACGGCTATTGACCCGCTCACAACCATTGTGTGTGTTGAGGGTGAGGCGATTGTGCATGCTGCTGTATGTCCTCAGGCTGCTTTAAGGGGTCCTGCACCCAGTACCTCCTGGCTTGAAATCGCTGCGTTGGGTGCGCGGGGTCGAAGTTCGTTCACTGCGACTTATCATTTTAAAACGGGCCCGGGGGTGGGGGGGGGGGGGGGGAGTGGGGTGAACTTTTTGGTCGTGTGTTCAAAGTGGTATACAACTGTCAGACGTTGATAAGGTTTTTTACGTCATGCTAAACCGTTTGAAAATGACTGCTGTGGCCGAAAGCGTCAGTTCCGGGCAAATAAATTCGTTCCCTGCTGACGAATAGTATGCATCCTATTGGGATGGCAGAGTACAGCTTCGCAACATTAGAACACTGTACAAGCTTGTGCAATGGTTCATGTCATACCTAATTCAAGCAAATGAGAAGTTAGTGGTTTCAGTATTCATGCAACAAGCTATGACTATCGGAGAGCTCAGGTAATCCCTGCGTCACACGAAATGATGCTGATAGCGATTAAAACTGTGCTCGGGAATGGTTATCAACGCGCCCTTTTATTAAACCTACGCATGACTTGGCCTCTGCAATTGTCATTGATTCATTACCCATGTTCAGGAGACATGTGCAAGGCTCAGAAACCTCAGCTTACGTGCCCTGCTCGATTTGGCGCTGTCGCCAAAGACGCCAGCGCCCGAAAGTAGGGAGGTTTAAACTTCAAACGCCGATATCTTTAGGCCATCAAAGAATGTCTAATGCGACATGGAAGGGGCGATGGGCCCTCCATACGAATCTGTTCACCTCTGGCCATCCTGTACAGGTGCGCACGGCTGGAGCCCCTGACCTTGCCGCGTGACCTTCAAACGGGCTGTCGGGGTGTGGACGGCCGTCGCGGCCCTGGCTCGTCGCTATAGGACGGCCGGCCGTCGTCAGGGTCCTTGCTAAGACGATCGCATTGGCTGGTATTGGTAAGTGCCACCAGGCGTAATGCATATATTCATTTCCGCGATATTTCCGTGACATGAATTTACATGGCAAAGCAAGTGGTGTGCGATGCGGTGCTCACATACCATTATTTTTGGTCATGAAGTTGAAATGGAACAAGGGGCTGAGCTGGCCCTAGCATGCCATCGTGCTGTCACTGGGATCACCCTTAGTGTGCGGAGACGTTCGGTCACCCGATTGGCAGGAGGCCTTGGAAGGGAGCAGAAGGTGCGTTCGCATCGTCGCCGTCCGCCCCTCATAAGTCGGCGCGGTGGTGATGGACGCTCCGCAACGGAGGACCGTCCGTGCACCCCCCCCCCCCCACCCCCCCCCCCCAGTGCCTCGCTGCGCCGCGTTCGTCGCCAGCTCGTGCTATCTGGTCAGCCAGCTGGCGGACTGGAGCGTAAAATAAGGAAGGCCGTGGCAGGCTCAGTGGTCGACACGGCGGGCGTGCCGGACAAGTGCTCTGCTTGTTTGCTACAGTACTGTTGGTACCCGAATTCGTCTCACGTGGCTCGTACAGTATACGAACGGGTCCACGGTAAGTTAAATATACGACCCAAGTTAAATATACGACCGCGTCCACGGCAATACCGGCATGCAGCATGTGCGACGTCATGTTGCACTCGGACAATGCCGGCGTTGTAAAGGACCTGTGGACTGATAGGAGCCCTTGGCCCTGCCTGCCGTTTTTGTATGGACTTTTTGCGCCGGGAACTTGTCATACGGCACAGTGAATCGCGCGCCGATCTGGTGGACGCACCGTCTCTTGCAGGCACGGGTTCGACATTTTTCCCAATCAATGGCAGGTCCGGAAGGCCGCCACGACCCGGCCAATCATCCTTCGTTGATCCTGTTTCGCGCGCTGAAGTCTGATGTGCTCGTTCTCTGTGTTTGTGGATGGGCAGAGACGGGCTTCCGGCCGAGCAGTACACGCTGCCAGTTCCGAGCGCAGGGCGCAGCTTGAACAAGACCCGAATAAGTCTTGGTCAGTTTGATCCAACGCTTCTTAAATGCTTAGAAAGCGCTCAGATGAGATCGGTAGTTCAGTGAGATGAGCGAGTGCCATGCATGATTAACTCTAAGGAGGGTCATACTCAGTTTCATACTCAGTCATAACAGTACCATGGTCTAATGCCAATCCCTGCTGTGCGAAAGTCGGTATTGACTGGTAGCCTCAAATGGCGCGACGGGCCTTCTGAGTTCTAAGGACGCA